GCATGTAAACAAGACATTTACATACAGTGTAAGAACAATATTAGATATTATGGAATACATTCCTCAAGTCTATAAAAGTACATTTCTAATAACTGTTTTCTTGGTTTACATTCAAATAATGAGATTTGTATGAATCAGCTCTGAAGCTAAAAAGTTCAGATACAACAGGCTCAAATTGTTGAGCTACGGCTCAATATATTAACAGCTCAATGCAATGTATGACTTGGACCAATTTTAAGTTCAAATAAAATTAACATATCTCAGATCTTATCAAACTGGGACAGAAATGTTATGTCAAAATATAAACTCTTTATAGTAAATTATTCACAATTAAAAAAAGGATAAAACAAGACTTAATAGATTGCCCTTTTCTTATTAATATAACTAAAACATACAATTTTAAACAATAACATTTAAATACAACCAATTTAAGCAACTTTATGTAAAATCTAGTGACTACTTTAATTATTTCCTAATTAAGTAAACTGATGTGAATGTTTTTTTTTGGAATTGGGTTAATGTATTTTTTGAATATTTATCTGTTTTCTTGTGAGACTGTCCTGTTTAAATGAGATTTAGTATTTTTTGAGTTGCTCTGTAGTTTATTTAAATTAGGAATAGGCATATCATGTACAGTTGCATTACCGCTATAGTTGGCAATTCTCATAATTTCTTCCAATGTTTTAATAAATGTATCACATGTAGCTTTTAACAGGTTTACTTCTTCTTCCACTCTCTGAAATGTTGAATAACTTATTATACCTTGTTTTTACCTATTGAATTTATTTTGTTTTCATGATCTCAAGTTAGTTAAACTAACTATTTGATCTGTCTGTGAATGCACCTTGAGTAAGACATGCAATAAACCAAACCTTCACATGTTATTGACAAAAATGAGAGAAAAAACTTATTTTATAAGAGATGTAAACAGTAAACTCTTATTTGCTTAGGTAGTTATGGTATATAAACTTAGTAACAGTTTAGTATCTCTAATTTAAAGAACAAGAATTAGTTGTAATTTAGAAAAAGCTGTATATATTTAATGATAATGAATTACTTATTACCTTATTTTCTGGACTGTCGGTATAGGATGCACCTTTTATAAAATGCACTTGCTGCATCATTAGATCACAATAGAGCCTCAATTCAGACTTTTTATGTCCCAAAGAATTATCAAATTCTGGGGCTAAAAATAGAAAATACAATTGAAACAACTACTAAGTAAAAACTTATATTAAAACAATAATTTTCATTTATAACATACCTATTGTATCAGTTTTGTCAACACATGCTTTAGCACTTCCTAAAGCAACCAACCACTTTTGCCTGTCTTGAGGAGAAGGTGCCCGTAGATACATATGTTGCTGGCCAGGTATAACCAAATCCAGACGGGTATTGTCGATATTATTGACTGAAAATACATCGCACTTCAGTGAATTCAAAAAGAAATTCGTGAATATTCAAAATCCTTAAAAAATATTACCATTTATTTGACATACTGATACTTTCACCGAGCCTTTGCATCCTTGAAACACTTCCTCTTCTGATTTATAATAAGATAGTATACCATTCTCCAAAACGAACCATCTTGTCTGCCAACCTACAATATTAATAATAGGTGATATATAGAAATAAGCTAATATAAAATTAACATATTTCTCCCATACCGTTCCAGTAATTTGTCCATTTCCATAAAACGCCTTCCATCACAATCGAACTAAAAATGTAGTTTATTTATTTACAACTGCAACGACAGCAAATTTTACAACAAACGTCAATAAAACAATGTCAAAACTATAATTTTTATTTCAGTTTTCAGTGCCATCCAGAGTTCCACACCATAGACATAGTCAAAGACTAAAACCCAATCTGTCAACTGTCATTGTCACATAAACATAAAGGTTCAAATCAATGCCACACCCGTTTGTTTTGCCTTTAACGAATTATTTTGGATAACTTTGTTAAACCCCAAAATGAATAAAAACCTTATTTGTAGTCTTACTTTCTTAATAACTTTATCATTTTCCGTTCTAAAAGGTTGTGTTCACTTTCTATATTAAATGTTATACTACAAAGTTTAATAAAATATACTAATTATTTGATTTCCATTTCAGTGTTTGGACTTGAATGTTATGTATGTGAAAATCAGGAAGATAATAATGAAAAGTGTGTTAAAACCATAAAAACTTGCGAATACGATCAAGACGTTTGTCTAACTGAAATTAAATGGGGTAGTACACCTTATTGGTCTCAAGGTGCAAAGAAGCAGTACTATGTGTCGAAACGATGTTCTAATAGAACAGACTGCGCTACAACCAGAGAACGGTATATGCCTACTTGCACGCATATTTGGTATCAAGATTGGGTTTGTTCAGATTGTTGTCAGGGTGACCGCTGCAACTATTACATTATAGTGAGTTAACATTTCTATAAAATTGTGTTGTACTCTTTTTAATATTACACTAACATTTTTTTTTAATTTCACAGAGTGGAACTGCAACTATGCAGCCTATTTTGTGTATGGTCATAGGCGGTGTAATGCTTCTAAGACTTCTTAGTAATAAGTTTATTTTGTACACTTAATTTGTATGGTAAATCATATTTCTTGGAGTAAGTTCTTTTCTCCTATTATCACCGTCCCATTTTGTAATGTATTTAAGGTTTTTTTAAGGTATTTTAAAATTTAAGCATACATTCTTTTTAAAGATATTACAATAAGAAATTAATTTTTATACAAATGATTTTAATAGTCTACAAGTTGTAATATTACATTGGAAAACAATAAGACTTGATTTTTATATAATTTTATCATGTTATTTTTGAATTATTGTTTAAAAATGTATACCATAGAATAATAATAGAAGCAGCTACTAATGATATAAGGAAACTCATATACTGTTGTATGTCTTTTTACCTGATTTAGGTACATACGTTTTGCTGGGAGCTATAGAACATATCGTTCAATTCCTCATACTTTTCAATGTAGTATAAAATCTAATGTTAAGTGAATGTTACATAGCATAAATTATTTTAATACCTTTATAGATATTG